AGAGAGTCATAGTCACTGGACCACCAAGGAAGTCCCTGATTTGTGTGTGTTTAAAGTCTTTATAAACATGATTTTTCAGATTCACGGAAGAATTGCAAGAATAGTACAAAGAATCCCTGAATAGCCTTCACCCAGATTCCCCAATACTACATTTGCTTCATCATTTTCTTTTTTTCCCCAAATCATCTTCAGTGAGTATTTCATAAAAAGAGATCATAAAAATCATAAAGTTAACATTGATACACTGTTATCTAACCTATAGAGCTTACCAGATTTAGTTGTCCCAATTAACGTTCTTTGCGGATAGGAAAAAGATCTTGGATCATGTGTGATATTCATTTGTCATGTCCCTTTAGTCTCATTTATTCATTTACTCTTTGTCGCTTCGAGCGGCCTTTCTCTCGTTGCAGAGAGCAGGGGCCCCTCTTGGTTTCGGTTCCCGGGCTTCTCATTGCGATGGCTTCTCTTGGTTGGCTGAGCACAGGCTCTGGGTGCCAAGGGCTCTCAGCAGTTGTGGCTCTTGGGCTCTAAGGCACAGGCTCAGCAGTTACGGCACACAGGCTTAGTTGCTATGCAGCACGTGAGATCTTCCTGGACCGTGGATCGAACCCATGTCCCCTGCACTGGCAGGCACATTCTTGTGTTCTGTTTTTGAATTATTTATTCATTTTTGGCTGTGCTTGTTCTTCGTTGCTGTGGCATGCTTTCTCTGGTTGCAGGAAGCGGGGGCCGCTCTTCACTGTGGTGCCTGTGCCCCTCATTGCGGTGGCTTGTTGAGCAGAGCACAGGCTCTAGGCTCACGGGCTTCAACAGTTGCAGCACGTGGGGTCAGTAGTCGTGGCGCAGGGGCTTAGCTGCTCAGAGGCATGTGGAATCTTCCCATACCAGGGATTGAACCCATGTCACCTGCGTTGGCAGGCAGATTCTTATGCACTGGGCCACCAGGGAAGTCTCTCTTTAGCGTCTGTTAATCTGGAACAGTTTCTCTGTCTCTTTTCAATTTTATGATACTGGCATTTTTTAAGAGCACAGGTCAGTTGTTTTATAGACGATCCCTCATTTTGGGTTTTTCTGGTGTTTTAAATGTTAAGATTCAGGTTATGTATCTTTAGCAGGAATATTATAGAGGTAATGTGTTCTTCTCGGCGCCTTGAATTCTTTTGGATACATGCCCAAGAGTGGGATTGCTGGATCATGTGGTGGCTCTATTTTTAGTCTTGTGAGGAACCTCCATTCTGTTTCACAGAGTAGCTGGGCCAATTTACGTTCTCACCAACAGTGCTGGTACTTTATTTAGGATTTTTACATCTAGAGTCTGTCATCAGAGTTGTTGGCCTGAAGTTTTCTTTTCTTGCAGTGTCTTTCTCTGACTTTGGTTTCAGGAATTTTAATCTTATAAGTTTGGAAATGTTGACCCCCCCAAAAAAAAGTTGCACAACATGAGAATTGCCAAATAAGTTTTATTTGAGGCAAAATGAGGACTATAGCCTGGGAAACAGCATTTCAGATAGCTCTGAGAAACTGCTCCAAAGAGGCAACGGGGAAAGGTCAGTGTGGATGTGATTTTGGTGAAAGGGGAAACATGCAATCAAGCACTGTGTTTTTTTTTTTTTCGCAGAAGGTTTCTGCTAGTCAGGAAGAACAGTCATCACCGTAAAGGATTTTAGTGCTTTTCCAGATAAGAGGAGATACAAGAATTGGGCTCATAAAATCTGCTTCTGAAAATATCTAACTATCTGAGGACCTGTCCTGCCAGTTCTCCCTGAGCACAGCGTGCCTCATGCCTGGTCTCCTCCCTGAACTGCTTTCCCGAGTGTTGAAAATCAGCAGCTGCAGAAGCACATGATTTAATTCCTTGTAGAGGTAGATGGCAACTGCCCTTGACAAGTGCCAGTTTGTAGCTGACAGAAGTATTTCTTCCTCTTTAATGTTTTTGAAGACTTTAAGAAGGATTGTATTTATTCTTTAATCCTTTGGTAGAATTCGGCAGTGAGGCTACTTGGTCTGGGGCTGCTGTTTACTGATAGTCTTGGTACATTTTTGATTACTGATCCAGTCTACTTTCTAATCATAAGTCTGTTCATATCTGCTGTGTGTTTATGATTCATTCTTGGTAGGTTTTGTGTTTGTAGAAATTTGCCCATTTCTTCTAAATTATCCAATTTCTTGGTATATTTTGTTCATGAGTTTCTTATAATCTGTTTAATTTCTGTGGTATCAGTTGCAATGTCTCCTTTTTCATTTCTATCTTTATTTGTATCTTACCTTTCTTTATCTTAGTTAATCTAGCTGAATCTGTCAGCTTTGTCAGTCATTTCAAAGAAACATCTCTCAGTTTTGTTGATGTTTTTCTCTTGTTTTTCTGCTCTCTATATTGTTTATTTCTGCTCTAATGTAATTATTTCCTTTCTTCTCCTAACTTTAGTCTTAATTTGTTCTTTTTTGTTCCTTGAGGTATAAGTTGTTTTCTGATATTAAAAATTTTTTTATTTACTTAAATTTTTTGAAAATTGGATTAAAAAAAAAAAACAAGCTGTTTTTTGGTTGCCCCCACATGGCATGTGCGGTGTTAGGACCCTGACCAGGGATCGAGCACATGTCCCCTGCACTGGGAACGAGGGGCTTTAACCACGGAGCCAGCAGGGAAGTCCCTGATTATCTTTCTAGATGTCTGTGTTTGTGTCTGTAAACTTTGCTCTTCAATGCTGCATCCTATACATTTTGGTATGTTTTGGTTTTGTTTTCATTTGTATCAGGACATTTTCTAGTTTCCTTTTTGATTTTGTCTTTGATCCATTGGCTGTTCAAAAGTTGGTTAATTTCCACAAATTCGTGAGCTTTCTAGTTTCCCTCCTGCCATTAATTTATAGTTTCATTCCGTTGTGGTCAGAAAATAAACATGGTGTAATTTCAGTCTTCCTGAATTTGGTACACTTATTTTGTGACCTACTGTGTGCTGTGTCCTGGAAAACGTTCCTCGTGTGCTTTAGAAGAATGTATATTCTGCTGCTTTTTGGAGGGATGTCCATGTCATTTATGGTGTTCAGATCCCCTACTCCTTACTGGTCTGGACGCTCTATCCACTATTGACGGAGAGTATTGAAATCTCCTTCTATTATTGTGTAACTGTTTTTCCCTTCAGTTCTGTAATTTTTTGATGCATATATTTAAGTGCGCTGATGTTGGGTGTGTATGTATTTATAATTGTTCTATCTTCATAGTAAATGGACTTCCCTGCTTGTGTGTGCAGTTTCTCAATTAGAGCCTTGCTGGCTTCTCAGGAGCTGCTAAATCTCTTGCTCCCTCTAGTGCCAGTTTCTGGTACTGCATGTTCTGCAGCTGCAGGGTGCCTTCACCCTCTCGGACCCAGTGGCCCCCAGACATCCAGAGTATGCTGGCTCCCGACAAGGGAATGAGACAGATACCATTCCCTTGAGCTGTCCTGTGAAAAGATAGCACAGCATAAGGAAGCCTCCCTCTTCTGCCTCCCTGCAGCACTGGCTGCAGGCTGCCACCCCTCACTTTTCTTTGGGCTTGGCAGCATTCAGGCATCCATGCTATGCCAGTTCCTTCGGTGCACCAAATGAGGCATGACAGAAAGCAGTCCTCTGGGAAGCCCTCCAAGGAGCTGGAATGCTGGATGCACACCCCACTCCTCTGTGTCTCTTCTGAAGGAAAAGCCAGGAGCTGGGCTGTTCTTGTCTGGTACCGAGCCGTGGAAGCTTGGAAGAGGGGTTGACATGAGGCAAGTGAAAAAACCCAGTTCAGTGCAGCTGTTCTCAGCTTTGTGCTCCTTTGGGACTTTTTAACTGAATTCTGGAAATCTCCTAAAGGCATTTTGGTCTGTATATCATTTAGAAAGTGTGTGTCCCTATGGTAGAATGTCCTAGGACTTAACTATGCTGTCGTATGGCTGGTGTCATTCTCCTCCTTCTTTATACTGCTGGTTTAGAACTGAAATGACTTCAGAAACCCTCCCATGTGTTTATTATGGACTCGCATGCTTCCCACTTTACAAGGAAAGACATCTTGAGGCCACGCTGAGTATCAGTAAGCACATCTTCCCTTAAAAGCTACGTGCTGCCCCTTGCTCAGTTTTCTTTCTCTGTCCTTGAAAAGTCTAGCTTTCTGGAATGGAGAGAAAGATGACCCTGGTCATCGGGATGTGGGTTGACCTTTATATCTCAGTACATGATGACGTATTGTTTGAGACTTAAACGCAAAAGGAAATGCTTCAACTTACTATGTATGAAGTTCTCCAGTCAGAATATGTCCATAACCATATTACTGTCTGTTTTAAAAGAGGGATTAAAAAAAGGGGGGAGATAATGTCTATTTTTAAATGCTTGGTAAACAGTAGTCATTGCATAGACTCTCCTATTAAAAGTTTAAGTGATGATCACATTCATTATAATGGTAAATATGACACATTTTCTACATGTCTAGAACCAGAACATAGAACAGAAATGTGCTGTCATAGCCATAAACAGGTAACGTGAACTCTGAAGTCAGAATGCTTGAGTTCGTGTCCTAGCTCCACCACTCAGCTTGGTGATCAGATCAGTTTATTTTCCCTTTTTTTTAAACCTTATTTTTTCTTTTGTGCCTGAGTTTACTCATGTATAAACTGGGTATGATAATAACAGCGCCTACATCATGGATTGTTACATGAATTGAATGAGAAGATTTATGGATAAGATATACAGACACAAAGTTTTCAGAACAGGACCTGGAATTTAAGAAGTGCTAGAAGGAAATGGCACCCCACTCCAGTACTCTTGCCTGGAAAATCCCATGGACAGAGGAGCCTGATAGGCTACAGTCCACAGGGCTCCAAAGAGTTGGACACAACTGAGCGACTTCACTTTCACTTTTCACTTTCAAATCATTGTTAGCTATTCTTGAGAGTAATCGTGATGAGATAGCCCTTGTTAAGCTTAGCAACTAGTAGAGATCACATTAAAAAAAATATTTAAAAGACTTTTCTGCCCCGTTGACAGAGTTGAAACTGTGGGACAACCAGACAGAAGAGACAGTATAGGAGTGTGTTCAGAAAAACAGAATGGATATGACTCCCTGCAGCGGGATCAAGCAGTATGCATTAGTACAAATGGTAAGTAAGGAGGAAATAACTGCCGTTCTCTTTGAAATGTGTGATTTACTATAATAAGATTTGAATCAGTCTCAGTATGACACATTTATACCAGAAGATGAAAATTTAGGTCTTAATGACATATCTGTGTGACAGCTTTGTACCAGGTATTATTCTATACCCTTTAAAAATAATACCTTACTTAATCTTTAACACCTTTTTGAAGTGAGGAGTAGCATTATATCTATTTTATAGTTGATGAAAGGGCTTCCTAGGTGGCTCAGTGGTAAAGAATCTGCCTGACAATGCAGGAGACGCGGGTTCAATCCCTGGGTTGGGAAGATCCCCTGGAGGCGGAAATGGCAGCCCACTCCAAGTATTCTTGCCTGGGAAATTCCATGGACAGAGAAGCCTGGTGGACCGCAGTCCATGGGGTCGCAAAGGGTTGGAAAGGAGCACGCACAGCAGTGAGTGACTGAGCACACACAGCACACAGTAGATAAGGAGAGAGAAGCCGTGGCTTAAGCAGCTGGCGTAAAATCACTTAGCCTGGAGGTGATTGAGCTGAGAGGTTTTGCCAGGCGGTTTACTCCTGGATTCTGTGTGCCTAAGTCATCTGAAGTCAACATAGAGAAGATAAATTCAGCATAGGTTAGGGAAATGAGGAGAGTTTACATCTGTAGTGTTCTTTGGTCCTTACTTCACAGTGATCACACTTAAAGATCACTACCAAGATGTATTAATATTTTATGGGGTGGGTCAGTCAGTAGACAGGATCTGTATTTATTCCATGTGAAACAGTCCTGCTGTTCCACAGGAAGTAGTTTTATAAGGGAGATGCCGCCCGCGTGGGAAACTCCTGGTCTCTATTTTAAGAGTGGAGCCCTGGACCAGAAGCCTAAAACGTTACTAAAGCTTTAACTTTTCCTTCTGCCTGGGGCATGTGGGGGTTAGTGAACATATTTAACTGCATTATCTTTGACCAGTTGGCATTCCAAAATGTTTTCTTTAATTAGGAAATTAGCTGCATTACCAATAATCTAGCATCTTGTTTCCATTCTTAGTTGTTGCTCACATGTGAATGACTCTTTACCTTAACATTTTAGGTGCAGTTTTTGTAAATGGAAAAGAAATGACTAATCAGTTGCCCGCAGTTACTTCTGGGTCCACTGTCACATTTGACATTGAAGCTGTGACTCTAGGATCCACCAATAATAACGAAGGCGGAAACTTCAAGCTTCGAGTGACTATTAGCTCAAATAACAGAGAAGTGGTGTTTGATTGGTTACTCGATCAGTCTTGTGGTTCTCTTTACTTTGGATGCTCATTTTTCTATCCTGGGTGGAAAGTGTTGGTGTTCTAGGTTTTCTGATGATTGGCTTTGGGTATGCAGAGGTTTCACATAGCTTTCCTCTCAGCCCAGTTGTCATTGGTTTAAAAAATGGTTCGATTCATCTCTCAGTTAAGCCATTGGAAACAGAAATTATATACAGGATTTCTTTTGGACTCTCTCAGCAATAAGAGGCGTGAATATGGTGGACAAAACCATTGCAATGCAGTCCATTTTATTTTGTAGTATAGTGTTAATTGGAATATGACATCACAATAAAAATCAAATTGGCTTTTAAAGTATGAGAAGATACAGAAAGCCCTATGAAACCCTTCCACTGTACTTCTAAAGGTGGTTGTAAGAACAGAAAAATGCAACATAACATGATTTTTTATTAAGTCTCCATCTTTTAAAGATCCAAAGCCATTTAAGACTTTAGAATGAAAAGCCAGGAATAGACCAGGTAGAATATGCCGTAATGTGCGCTGTAACGTACACTCTCATGTGTGTTCCCCACAGGAGTGTTGAATATGCTCTTCATCTTCAGGGATTTGTAAGCAGTATTGAATTTTATCTCATGTTCAGTAATCTTTAAGTCCCAAAAGTGTGATAAGTTTTAAAAATTACTGAGCAAATGTCTACAACAGGCAAAGTGTTTTCTGTTGTTCTTTCCTTGCAGTCCCATTCCCAATAGGTTTGAGGGGTTTTACAGGGTAAAACTACTTACAGAAGTAGTATGCACAGCAGTGTTATTAATAGCTATGTCCTTTGTATGAAATATGCACCGGTGCACATCTAGCCTCAGTGACTTGCGTGTCGCTCTTGGTAGGGTCTGAGTTGCAGTCCAGTTCATGAATGGTCTTTTAGTGGACCAAACAAGTGTAGGCTAAATACTTGACCTATTTTTTGGGGAAACAAATTTGTTTAAAATATTTATTTGAAGGACTTGGATGTAAACATGATTATCTTAACTTGCTATTTACCAGCCTAAGATCTTTTCTCTTTAATGTGAATTTTTTTTTTTTCCATTTTTAAGAGTAGAAAAGTGGAAAAGCAAGTTTGATATTTTTGTAAGATAATTTATTGGGGGATTCCAGTTCCCTATTAGACAATCATGACCTTTTCCCATTGCCTTTTTATATATAAGTAAGCTGTTTTTCACTTGTTAAGTGATTAAGAAGATGTGCTAGAATGTAGATGCCTCGTCCAGCTATCTGAAACAAAAATAAAAAAGTAAAAGGTATGTGTGTGTATTTTTTTTCTTTCATAAGATTTAATTAATTCAGATTTAATCTTTTAAGTAGAGGGAGAAAAGTCATCTTCACTTTTAAGTGTGTGTGTATATATATTTAATGGTAATAAATAAGTTATGTACACGTATATAACATATATTGGCAAGGCTGTACTCCTTCCGGAGGGTCTAGGGGAGAATCCTTGGAGCTTCTGGTGGCCACAGGCATTCCTTGACTTATTACTTCGTAACTCCAGGCTCTGTCTCTGTCTTCCCATGGCCTTCTCCCTTGGGCTTTTTTTTTTTTTCCCCAACTGCCCTGTGAGGCTTGCAGGATCTTAATTCCACGACCAGGGATTGAACCCAGGCCCATGGCAGTGAAAGCACCAAGTCCTAACCACTGGACCTCGAGGGAATTCCCTCCTTTTGTCTCTTACAAGGAAATTTGTCTTGGATTTAGTACCCACTCAAATAATCCAGGATGATTTCATCTCCAAGTCTTTAATTTACTTATAGCTGCAAAGACCCTTTTTCCAAATAAAATTGCTGTCATAGGTTCTGATGTGGACATGTCTTTTTGTGGGTCACCACCATTCCACATGGATGATGGTGTCTGGCTGGAGTGGAGTGGTTGTTGGTCATCAGTTTGTCTTGCTAGGCTGCCCCTTTCCTGGTCCCTTGGCTGCAGTGAGCAGGTTTTTGTTGGGGCTTTTTGTCTGTCGGCATTTCCATGTTGCCGGCATCTTTTGCCCCCAAGTTTGGGATACACAAGACGAAAACCTTAAGAATGCACAGTATGAAGTTCCTTGAGTTTTGAGGTACCTTGGTCATCTGTCAGTCTTCTTATGTTTGTTTTATTATATTTTTTCCCATAGTTTTTAGTTTTTCTCAGCAGGAGGAGTGGGAAAATTATGCTACTCCATCTTCTCAGAAGCATAAATTCTGAAGCTATATAATAGATTTTAATATCAAAACAAAAATAAAAGAATAAGTAGGGATGAAGGGTAAATAGATCTCTTCGGAGCGCTTTCCCTGTAGAGGGGAACAGAGTAAGCATCTAGCTCCTCGGTTAAATATGAAAGATTTAGTTCAAGAAGTGAAATTTATTCATTTATTGACAGCAAACTATTGTGACAACTGTTGACAGTAACGCACTCACTGAGTTATCTCCCTAACAGGTTCAGAACTTTCCACACGTGTTTGAATCAACCAGTGCCAGAACGGACAGTTTGTTCGGCTCTTGATTAGTGTCCTGTGTCTTTCTCTCTCTTGGATTATTCCTTAACCTTAGTGGAGCACTTCCTTCATTTGCTGAGAAAGGGTGCCCAAGAGGTAAATTTTTTGAGATAGAAAGCTGAAAATCTCTTTATTCAATCCTACCTTTGACTGTGACTCATTAAGAATTCTAGGTTGGTGATCATTCCTTCTCAGAATTTGAATGCACCGCTCTGTGGTCTCCCAGGAAAACTAATGCCTTCCTGATGCCTGTTCATTTGTATATCGTATGTTTTTCCTCTTTGGAAGATTGTAGTCCTCCTCTTTGGAAGACTCTTTATTCCAGCGGTCCCCTACCTGTTTGGCACCAGGGACTGGTTTCATGGAAAACAATATTTCACGGACTGTCGGGCGCAGTGGTTTTGGGATGATTTAAGCATGTTATATTTTTTGTGCACTTTATCTCTATTATTCCACAAGCTGCACCTCAGATCATCATGTGTTAGGTCCCAGAGGCTGGGGACCCCTGCTTTGTTGTCCTAGTTTGTTTTTGGTATAACACTCAGCTATGTAGCTCATTTGACAGCTGACCCTGTAGGGATATGAGTTTCTAATACCTGCTTTAAACCCACTAGATTATCAATTCCTTGAGTTTTTGTATCTTCTATAGCAAGTTATTCTCAATCCTGGCCTCACATTAGAATTTCCTGGAGAGCTTTTAAAAATAGCAGAAATTCTGATTCAGTGGGTATTAGTGGAGCTCACTTTTTTTTAAGAAATGAAATTATTATTATGAAGGCAGATTTGGGAGTAACCACTCCAAAGTAACTAAAAGTACAGTCTCCATGGTGATTTTTTTGGTAAATGTAAATTTGTTCTCTTTGGAAGACTATCCTTTATTCTGAAATTTAAGTTTCTTGCTCTTCTATACTGTGTCCTTCTATAAAATTAAAGTGACAGTAGATGTCAGGTTTGCTGGGTTTGTTTGTAAATCCTGACAAAATGTCAAAAAGTTTTTGAATATATATTACTGGTCTGTGAAATCCAAAAGTCTGGGATGTACTTCTACCCAACATTTCCTGATATGTGGGTATCTGAGAAGTACTTCTGAACTAAGAACAGTACTTTTCTTAAAAGACAAAAACCATATTCAGCAAAATGAAACTAATCTCTCACAAAAGCCTTTCTTTCATGGAATTCAATGTTGATTAAATGAAAAGTGACCTATGTCACTTCATTAGTCTTACCTAAGGCAGTGTTAGAAAGCTTGCAGTTTTGTAGAGAATTAAAGACTTTGTTAATCTCAGGAGACTTCTCCAGGATCTTAAAATATATAGCTTGTGAAAGGAGCAAGCATGTTATTTTTCCTTAGAGGTGGGAGCTGAGGATTGATGTTGACAGAACTGTAAGGTTGTAGGGAAGGAAATAGTGATAGATGTTAACCAAGAGCAGATTACTGTCCAGATCCCCTGTTGAAGGAGGCACTTTTTTTTTCTATTGCCATAGTTATTTGAAATGTATTTTTAATTGGAGGATAATTGCTTTCCAGTATTGTGTTGGTTTCTGCCATATATCAACATGAATCAGCCATGGGTTACGTATGTCCCCTCCCTCTTGAATCCCTCCCTCCCACCTCCCATCCTGTTGAAGCAGGGATTTTGATCCCATTTTACAGTTGAAGAAACAAACTCAGTGTTGTCAAGTAACTGAGTTTTGGAGCTGCAAAGGCCCCGAGTTGGCATTCACATCCAGGCCTGCGGACTCTCAGTGCTTCTGCCACGCTCCTGTGTCCACACTGCCCTATCCCTGGGGCACCAATTTGAGATAAGACATTTAGCTTACTATCTTGGCTTACTAAAACATGAACGAATGTCATCCTCTCTGGAATTCATGAGGACAAGAACAATGTCTGCCTTCTTCATCTTTGTATCCTCACACTTAACTAAGGCAAAGGCCATTATAGGTGCCCAAGAAGTATTTAAGGAATAAACAAGGCTCCGCGAGCCTAACTAATGGCATGGCAAGCATGATCCTTCCCCTTCAGGGCCTCACAGAAGAGCCAGCTCCCCGCTTCCCAAATAAGAGGAGTAGGGGTCATTTGGACAGAATCCACTCAGAAGAAAACCTTAGTTGAATTAGTGAAGAAAGGAGCTAAGATGTGTTGGATCCCTGTTACATTCTAGGCCCTTGTTCTAGGTGATTCATATGTTTGTCTCAAAATAGAAGAAGCTTTCATTCTGTGACCTGTGTAGCTTCACCACTGCTTCTCTGGAGTAATGACCAGTAAGTCTAGCATAGAGGTGCATGCTCGTTTAGGGATAGGAGAAAGAAGTGACTTTAGTTTTGCTCCATGAGAACTGGGAGAATCCCTGAAACATGAGTCTTACTCAACTCATTCCCAGTGCTTGGGACAAGTCCCGGCACACATCCACAGACAAATTACAGGACGACTGGAGTGGGAGTGTGCTAGCAAAGCAGGTGGAAGCTATTTGTGTTCTGAAAAAGGATGGAGTAGCATGGACAGAAATATGATTCCAGGAGATGGTGCACCTGTAGGTGGCCACTGGTTGAAGCTTTGCCTTGTGGG